AAAATGAAAAAAGGGAAAATAGATACCAATTAAAAAAAAGAAGTAATTAAGTGTAGAATAGTGATAAGGGAAGCTAGAGGTATAGAAAAATTGTCACTGGAAAATCTGAGAGCAACAATGAGGAATTTTCCAATACGTATTAGAAATAAAAGAAGTCCTTGGAATGGTGTAGAGCATGGTGCTCAAGATTTTTACCTGGTGGGCCAGATGGGCAGTGCTTGGTCCATCTGCAGGCTGGATCTAGTTGGTAGTCCTGATCTGGCACCTGGGGTGGGTTCAGCAGGCCCTATCCAGCCACGTGGAGGGGAGCATGGGGCAGCCTAGTCCCACCCTGTTTCCACAAAGGAAAGAGGCTTGACCTGGCCCCAATCCAGCCAGAGAGCATGGGGAGGGGATAGAAAGGGAAGGAGTGTGACCCCACCCTGATACAGCTGCAGGGGGGGAAGGGTCATGGCCCAGCCTTGATCCAGCTGCAGGGGGCGCGGGATAAGGAAGCAGGTGTGGCTCAGCTCCAACTTGCCACGTGGAGCGTAAGAATTTGACAGGGGGGAGGGTGGCCATATTAATTGCCACTGCTCCTCCATCTCCTAAATTCGTGACCCATGGGGAGTCCCATAGGTCAGATGCAATGGCCCCATGGGCCTGAGGTGGAGCACTCCTGGTGTAGATCCATTACTAGATAGAGATGGTAAAACTGTGACTGATGCAGAAAACTGAAAAGTGTTTTTCTAAATATTTCTACATGTACTTGGAAGAAACAGAATGATGTACTTTCAAATTCATGAGTATAACTGGAAAGGACGTTAAAAGGATGTTAAAATGAAGTTTCAAATGAAGTTTGCAAGCCTTGATGAATTGCACCCAAAAGTCCTAAAAGATTTGGCTGAGCAGTTTTGTGGCCCACTGATATTTATATTTAATACATCTTGAAATGCTGGGGGAATTGCAGAAGACTTGAAGAACACTAACTTGAAAAAGGCAAAGGGGGTGACCTATACAACTATAGGTCAAGTAGCTTTACATTTGTTCTGAATGAAATAGCAACAAACTGATATGGGATTCCTTTAATAAAGATGTGAAGAAAGAAATATAGGTAAAGCCAGTCAATCTGGTTTTATGAAAAATAGTCATTTTCAGAGAGATCCAATTTCATTCTTTGATGAATTGCAAAGGTAACTGGCTACATTTAGTATTCTTAGCTTTTTATTAAGCATTTGACTTCGTACAAGCTAGCCATACAGAGCAATCTAAATGGCTTGGTAAGCTGGGCTCATTCAGACAGAAAGCAATGTAATGCAGCCAAATGTAAGGTCATGGAACAAAGAATCTAAGGTGTACCTACAGAATGGGAAAGGGCTGTATCCTAGAAGGCAGTGAGTCTGAAAAGTGCTTTTAGGGTTCACAGTGGATAAACAGCTCAACACAGGGTCCAGATGTGATGTTGTGGCAAAAAAGGCTAATTTGATACTTGAATGCTTAATCAGGGACACAGGGAGAAAGAAAAGGGAAGTGATTTTACCTTTATGTAAGGTACTGGGGAGAGTGATATTAGAATACAGCATTGAGTTCTGGTGTTCGCACTTCATAAAGCTGATGGAATAATTGGAAGGGGTGCAGAAGAGAGCCACACACATGCTTGAATGGCTGGGGAAAATGTCCACCGGGTTAGCCTCTCACAACTAAGGTTGGGAGCTGAGGTGATGGCAGTCCATATTGTCACAGGGCACTGAGACATACCTGCTTTCTTAAGAGTGGCATTGGGGAGCTAATGAGGGACTCACCTGACCAGAAGAGGGCTCAGGCTGGAGCTACATGCCCAGAGCCTGCACCAGTCAGGTAGTCTCTCCCCAGCAAACGTGAAGTGGGGAGCTCCTGGCTGCAGGGCATCAGGGCTCCTGCAGGGACCTGGACTTTGGCTGAGGAACTCTGCAGGTCTGGGACCAGAGGCAAGTTTCCTAGGTTGAGAAAAACTGGGTTTACAGGCAAGTGGCCTTTGTTTCTGTTAAACGCCTACAGGGATTGGGGGGTCTGCCAGAGGACAGTGGTGTTTCTTATTAAGTTACACCAGTAGTTTAGCCTTGAGCCCTGCTGGGGCAGCCTCGTGTCCTATTTCGAGAATCGGTAACACAGAAGCCCTCAGAGTGAAGGTGGAGCCTAGAAAATGGGGCTCAAACTGGAAGGTCCAAGAGCCCAGGGAAGGGTTGAGCTAGGCCAGAGGGTCCATGAGCCCAGAGTGGGCCAAGCCAGACCAGGGGCCTGAGAGTCCGGAGAGGGGCTGCATGCAGGACCAGAGGTCAGAGAGCCCAGAGGAGGGGCTGGTTGCTGGACCAGGGGTCAGAGGCCCAAGGGGGCCATGTGCATAAATAGTCACATCAATGAGAGAGAACATCTGCAAGGCTTGGGGTGTGGTGTAGGGGAGGAAAAGGAGCCGCGCAATTTGCCCTTAAGGCCCTACAGGGGCCTAATCAGGCCCATGGGGACCTATCAGCTGGGAGGGCTGTATTGAGGTTAGTGGGGCCTCAGGAGAGACCCAGGGGGAACCTACTGGGATTAGGGCTCACTTTAAGGCTGTTGGCAGCCTCCCCGAAACAACCTATAATATTAAGAACAAGGTGTGGCGGGTGAGCTATCTAGGGAGATAGCCATTAGAGTTTGAGCCTGGCAGGAGTGGCAAGGCCACTAGGGGGCATCACGGCTGCCCCTGTGGCAGTGAGCCCATCACACACACATCTTCATATGGAGAAAATGCCAGGTAATGAAAGTCAAAACCAATGGCAAGAAACTAAAGCCTGGCAAATTCAAAGTAGAAATCAGGCACGATTTTTTAACCACAAGGAGGATGAACCACTGGAACAAGCTAGTAACAGTCATCTCTTGATGACTTTAAATCAAGGATTGGACTCCTTTCTGGAAGAGATGCTTTAGTCAAGCACAAGTTATTGGGCTCAGTACAGGGCTAGGGGGTTGAAAGTGTATGGCTTTCGTCATGCAGAAGGTCAGATTGGATGATCTAATAGTCCTTGAGATCTAAATATCTGAGACTATTTAATATCCAAATGTGAAGTTTGGATTTTGAAAACCAGTCTCTGCTACAGCTCTGTCGCTCTTCAAAGGGGGCATTAAACAGCCAGAAAGAACCAGTGGGACAGATCCTAGGGAACTGTTTTAACTATCATATGTAAGAGCATCCTTGGGACTGCCGCAGCCTATACTGGGGGCAGCTCAGGCCCCAGCCAGCCTTCAGAACAAGAGCTGCCAGAAAGGCAGCTTTGTTCCAGCTCTTCACCATCGCCACCCATTCAGATGCTTCAATGCAGGGGCAGGCAAAGTCTGGCCCATGGGCTGGATTAGGCCTGTGGTGTGGACTCTATTTCCCAGCAGCCCCGGCCTGTGTCGCTGTGGCCGGTTTCCATGGGGACCCCAGCAGTGGTGGAGCTGTGACTGGCCAGCAGCACTAGCAGGGTGCGCAGCTAGGCAAGGACCTGCTCTGGGGCTGGGATCTTGCGGCGGTGACAGTGTTGTCTGGAGCCAGGGCAGGACTGTGATCCAGACCATGCTGTCACCGCCACAAGGTCCCAGCCCTGACCCTGGAGCAGCTCCCTGCCAATGCTGCTGGGGCTGGTCTCCATGGAAACCCTGTCCCTGTCCCACCACTGCTAGGGTCTCCATGGAAACCAGCTGTAGCAATGTGGGCAGGGGCTTCTGGGAAATGGAGTCAGGCTGCCAGCCAGATCCACTGTTTTCCTCACCCCTGCTCCAGTCTCACATTCTGAACACCTGAGTATTGAGCTCAATATTTGCAAAAAGTAGTGAGAAGTACATCTAAACAAAGTGTGCCTAATTATTGGGATTTTTTTTTCCCCAAAAATTGTTTACATGAGCTTCAATTTATCCCTTTGTGTTTCTAATGTTCCTTTAAGAATAAAGTCAAAAGGACTGCTTTGGGTGATATATTTGCATACCTAAGTGGCAGCACCAGCATTCAATACTATTACGCGTTCAGAATAACAGAGAAGTAAGTAGGCATGACACAGTTTAGAAACTATTAAGTGGATGTAATAATAGACTTAATTAAACCCAGAGGGAATGCTTCTGCAAATCATTCGAAAACCTTTACAAAAAAAAAAAGTTTTGTGGAATTTGAAGCACAGTTTCAGATTGGCAGAAATGAACCAAGTAGGCATCTCTCATATTCTCTATTTTCCCCACAGAACAGGCACAGAACTAAAAGTGTCACTGCGCATTTCTTGCAAATATACCATAGCTGTGATTGCAGGTTGTACCTTGTTCTCCATACCCATTCACTCTTAGCTGCGTGCTGAGGATTGCCAGCTGTGATGTCAACATTTGCCCACAAGGAGCTAAATAGACTTCCATTGCCTTTCCAGCACCAAGCAATCACTAGACATGAATTGGTGATACGTTACAGTAAAAGTGAAGGATTCTGTATTCATTACCAACTTCTTTGAGGCATGTAGTAACAGACGGGCTTCTTGGCGGGGTAAATTAGCCTGAGTTGAGCAATGTGCTGATGTGAGTAGGCTGCTACTGCTGACTATTAGTGCATTTAGAGTTCGCTAACTGCAATCTTTCCTGAGACATCCCAGGACATCCGGTTACCTTAAAATGGTGCTAATTCAAGTGGAAATGGCTTGGCTCAGTCAGTGGGAAGACGCTCTGAGTTCCATAGGCATTGGATCCAGCCCTTAAGGAATTAATTTTGCATCTCTTTGACTGGATTATGGATGTATTGCTTTGGTGTGGAATTTGCCCTAAACAAGCAAATGGATTTTTTTAAAAGGTAAACTTATTTCCCAAATGTAATAATAGTGGGATATCCATTGTATAACTATTATGCAAATGACCCCTTAAACCAATTCAAAACATCCCCACAGGAAATTAAATGCAGGTGCTTAATTATCATAATGAGTAAAATTAGTAATACTTAAAACGACTATTACTTATTTAAACTTTGTCTCCTTATGTCTGTTTTTTCACAGGACCAGCTGTCAGATACAGCGAGTTCAGTGTGTCAGACCCCAAACCTCCACCTCTTATTGGACAGCACACGGTAGAGGTACTGAAGGGTGTGCTGGGATATGAGGATGGCACCATAGAAGAATTGCTCAACACTGGAGCAGTGGTTCAGCATGAAGTCAAATGAAGAACTTCAGTTGTAGTGCTTCGTGCTGAGTCTTCTGTATTTGCTCCTGTTTGGGATTCTTTCAACTCCTTCCAGGGAAACTCAGAAGAGGAGGTTTAATTCAATTCTTAATTTTCTTCCGTGTGCGTTTGGAATGAATCTAGCAAAGTTGTATTGATTAAAGCAATCTGGTAAAGACTGTGTGAAGGAAATTTGTGAGGGAGTAAAAGTTGTAATCACAGAATCCTACATGGCTAATCATTTCCTATATTTTTTTTTCTGGGAAATATAATTCTTATCATAATGAGGATAATTGCCTAAATGTTTGTCCCTATAATGACACAAAGTTGGTGAAAAGAAGCAGATCCTTGAAACATTTGGACACTGCCATCTCCATTTGCACATAAGCTCCTTCTTAAAATATTTGACCACGAAATCAAAGAACTGAGCAAATTGACAGCCTCTGTGATTGATTTTAAACAGAATTTCTGAGCTCATGAGCTCTTTGTGGAGCTTTCATTTAAACAGTGGATGAAGTGACCATTGTAAAACTGCCTTCTATTCCCATGCCTAGTTGTGTAAATATTTGCTTTACATTGCCTTGCATTGCTATGACAATCCCAGAGTGTGTAGCACAAATAAACTTCAACTGTTGCATTTATCCTGTTAAGCGAAGAGCCCTGTTCCAAGCCTCGTGGAGAGTTGGAGCATGATTGGAAGGTACTGGTCTTCTGCATTTTTATTCAGCCCGGCCCTTGATTGGACGTGGACCCAAACCAAGACCTCAAATTTGAGCACCACAGGCCAATGTTTAGAGGAAACTTGGGTCTGGCTCTATGAGCAGGGACTCATCCATATCTCTTTTAATGGCCCTTACCCAAATCCCTTCACCTGACATCCATTTTACTATGAGGAAAATTCAGATTTGGATCTACATTTTTGGTAGAAGCCCATTTCTGTGATTTAAACAGGACCAGATTCTACTGGCCGTGCTCAAGTTTAATGACATCTTACTCTGTGGCTTCTAACAGAGTAAAGTATTACTCACTTTGAGTAGGGGTGGAAGAATCTGGTCCATCATAAACAGCAAGCAACAGATTAAAGGCAACCCAGTTATTCTTCTACACAAACCAATTTGGCAGTACCTCAGCCTCAATGTCTAAGCATATAATTTACATCTAAAGTAAACTCTGCATGGGAAGGCTCTAACCTTTGTTGTGTGTACCATTGGAGTGAGGCAGTGCCCTTCTACTCCTACAAGTAAATAATGCTAACTCAAACTGACATTCAACAAATAATGTCCATATTTCTCCCAAAGTATCGGAAACAGGCCTGGCATTATAACTAGCTTGTCACTGTGTTTCCACTTTAACAAACAACATCCTCTGTATTACATTTGAACTTCACAACTGTGTATTACCTTCTGGGGAAAAAATGGTTATGATATAATGAAACTGAAATGGAAACACATTGCAGTTGTCATTTTTGAAGCTCTGTGTGTGTGTGTTTTGGTTCATTTGTTTGCTTGTTTTGTGTGTCTTTCTGTGTTTTTTTTCCAATGTTGTACTAATCATTTTTTTTCTTACATTGTATTCTTGGCATAAAGCTCAACACTCTGTCCATGTGTTAAAGGCATCATGAGATTCTGGACTAGTGACTTCTTAAATAAATATAGAAAGAAATCTGCCTTGAGAGTCAAATGGAATAGGAAAACCCTAGGGGAAGAGTTAGTATTTGGGAATAGGATTGGAAGGGGTTACGATATAGTCCACCTTTAATCTAAGAGGAGCAACCCCTCTTAATGAGAAAAACAGTGATTTGCAGCGAGCGTCAAATAAAATGGGCAGTGCGATACTAAATTGAGTTTTGTTTATTGCTAGAACTATTTCACACTATCAGGTCATGTTTACAAATAAACTTTGCTGTTTCCACTTATTGAGGGACACTTATTTCCCCATTTCTGAGAATTCAATGCATAAATAAGATACAGCAAAATCACGCTCAGTTTAGTTCAAGGCTTTCAAAGGATCTTTATTCAGGGCTTTGCCAAGTATTGGAAAGACCTTAGTGCCAGACCCTCAGAAAAACTGGCATGGCTCCATTGACTTTAACAGAACCATCCTGATTTACACCACCTGAAACACTGGATCTGACCCATGATTTATTTATTCCAACATACCCACACAAATAGAGTTTTTCTTCCCTTTTTAGTGTTTGCCTCTCTCTTATTTTGACATGCAGATACTAAGGGCCTCGTCACAAGGAACACTTAGTACATGTGAAATCTGTTCAGTATTAAAGTTAGAATATGATCTGAGCAGTTGTGTGGTATTATTTACTACAATCTCTACCATGCACAGCTCACTGATTGTTGGTCTCAGCCCTACCACCACACCTGAGGCTTGAACCGGGCTTGGTACAGTGCTGGAGCTGAGACTGATGATCAGCTGATTGTCAGTCCCAGCCCCAGCACTGGAGCCCCTTCAGTGAAGAGAAAAAGCAGGATCAGGCCCTTGGTGGGCTGCAGTGCTATGGTCCCATCAGGACACGCTGGTTGCAGAGCCCAGAAAGGAATTGTGGGGGAGGGAGTTTGCAAGAATCAGCCCCTCTACTTGCTATTTTCACTTACAACTTGAATGGATGCCTTGGGGGGAACCTACCATTACTTGTATTACCTCTGTGGAGCAGGCTGATGACAGCTGAACATCTGATGACAGATGCTCCTCCTGCGAAAAGTTGTAACTTTTCTATGATACAGTTGCTCTTAGCACAGATTTTCTTGCTTGAACACATGGGATACTTGGGTTGTAAATGCAGTTAACACATCTTAAGGAGATAATCCATGACATTATTTTGGAATAAGGGCATTGCAAACCCTGTAATTGCTACTTATTGCTAGGATAAGGACAAGAGATTCTGTAAATAAATGGGTGATAACTAACTGTCTACAGGCTGGGGGGAAAAAAGGCATGCTTGATGCTGCTAAAAATCTTTAAATAACTGGGTGACCCCATAGATCTCTCAGGTCTGATCCTGCAACCTGTGTTGTCCCACTCCCAGAATCTGACCCCTTGAGTTTTAAATTGCTTTTTTTTTTTTTTTTTTTTA